AGTTGACAGGAAAGCATGGAGCACAATTGAGATGTGTGAGAAAAGAAACTGTTAGCATAGAACTTATGGCTACATCTAGTCAGTTCAACTGTAAATTGATGAGATCTCTATACCAGTCTAGTATTGTGCTTAAATTCATAAAGTCTAGACACTATAGCAAAGAGCTCATTCAAACAATTATCATGAAAGTATTTATAGAAAAGACACAGAAAAGCAACCTTATGGTGGTTGGAAAGTGAATCTGAACCACCAGATCAGGCCCAATAATACTGTTGATTCTTCTTTGGATTTTAACAAGGAGCTCAAGGTAAATAGCAGGGGCACTGGACCATGTGTGGCAGCAATATTCTAAGCATGGATGAATGGTAGACTTATAGATATGCAAGATAGATTCTTAGCAGCTGACCTAGTAATGTATTCAATAAAGTCTTTCCACCTGAGAACATTAGCCTGTGAAGGTGAAAAAAAGTCACTTTCTTGGAGGTTATCATCAGCCATGCTGATGGAAGATAGAGAGGGATCTCTCAGACAATGGAGATAAGTTTGGTTTGGGAGACATTAAAATTAACAAACTGATTCTTCTTTGGATTTTTATCAAGGCACTTAAGGTATATTAAATATAAAAGAATGGAAAACAATATTCAGGCAAAGATCTCTGGAAAGCAATAATATATTAAAGTTAAAACAATAGAAAAGTTAATAAAATCAATGACTGAATAACTAATGAAGGATATAGAATGTGAAGGAAACCATATTAACATGTAAAGTAAAAAAATATCTGTCTGAATTTCCGAGGATTATGGCTTAGCAGATTAAAGTGAATTTGATGACATAGTGGTTACGAGTTTAATCCCTGGGTCTGGCAGTTTGTATTTGGATTCTGTGGAAACAGACAAACAATAACTGTGCAGTACTAAAAATAAGAAGATGGACATTTGGTACAATTAGCTATGGTTCATTTTGATTGCCTCATAATCTCTTGCATTCTATATTGTTGTAAACTATTCACTATTCATTGCCCATCACAACTTTTTATTTTGAAAACAAGGTGTTTTGTTATGTGAAAGCCACACATCAATGAAACTAACATACCCAATCGGATGAAAATGATCTTCAGTATTTGATTTTATTTTCAGTATGTTCTCTCATGCATTGTAATAATAATAATAGTAGGGACTGTTTGTTTTTGAGTGGTTGGCTAATCCTTGTTGTAGACACCTACTCAGGCTCATTTGTGTATCTTCAATGCTTACAGAGAAAACCTGTTGTCATCAACAACCAGAAGAATTTCAAAACTGCACTAAAAAAATAGCAAGTAAATTTTCAAACATAAATACTAATTAATGTTTTCCTTGACAGAAAATAATGTTTTTTTATTAAATTATGCAAGCACGAACTCTCTACAAAAAAATTTCTTTGAGTTTTTTAACTGTTTTTGCAAGGTTACAGCACAGATTTTCAAGATGTCTACATTTGATATTATGAAAAGATTTTTTACAGACAAAATATAATCGATTTTTCCTTATAAATCTATAAAAACATTTGTCATCACTCACCCCAACCAATTTTAAAGGTGTTCCTGATGTATCGACATGAAGGGAGTAATTATAATTAACACCCCGCCACCTCCAAAAAAATTTCCACAAAATTAAAACTTAAAAGTCTTCTAAATTCAGTAATAATAATCAGTTATACAACTTACATTCACGAATAAGTGCTGAAAATTTAATTTATATCGAATAATTGTTTTTTTTGGTATTTATTTTATTTTATTTAAACTTTCATTTCGGGAAAATGCATGCATTCGGATACCTAATTTACAGATAGCCATCAACCAACTGTACGTGTATGTGTGTGGTGCTCTATACCACACAAACACAACAACAACAAAAAAGACCTTTATAGATGCGATTGTTCCATAACTTAGTGTTACCGCAGTTACCCGTAACCTGTCAACCGATGGAAAATACCCCATTTGGATTATATTTTTAAAATAAGCACGAAGGCCCAACTTGCAAATTTGCTAATCATGTCGAAGCAGCTAAAAATTAACAGTAACTCATTCAAAAAAAAAAAAAAAAAAAAAAAAAAAAAAAAAATAAAAAAAAAAAAAAAAAAGAAAAGAAAAAAAAATAAAATCGTGGGAAGTGCTTTTTGAGAGCTGGACAAAGTGTAGGCCACTACATTTTGACACCCATGTAAAAATAGAATAAAAAAAAACAAACTAAAACATTATTATTGCCAAGCCCAAGAGTGTGTGTGTGTAAACAGTGAAAAAACTACATCTTAGTTATTGACACTGTTTTCGTTTCGGTGTAATAAATTGGGTTTCTGGTTAGAAATCTTGAAACAAACCATGCAGCAGTGTACAGACACTTTTACGCACGTGACATAATGCACATAATACGTTTTTTTGTAAAAAGATAACTTTTTTTTTTTTTAATATATTTGCATTGGTCGGGCTGGAAATAGATTAGGTAAACATTTCGAAAACATACACCAGAGCTATAAGGTAACGAGCAGATAACACGGGCCGGGTGATATCCTTTTTTTTTTTCTTTTTTTAACCTACCTACTTTTGCGTGTATTTCTAAGAAGCGTCATCGGTCAGAGTTCAATTTCAGATGAATAAAAAAACAAAGTGAAGTTGTACAAACAAGGCACCGCAGCAAGAAAGCATTTTTGTTTTAATGTTTTTCTTCATATTACCATGGATTTTATGAATATTACCAAAACAAAACAAAATTTTATAAAAGTTAGAGGTCCAGCTTGCTAAGTAAATTCATCGTAAAAATTATTGATTCCCAACTACAAAAAAAGCCAAAACAAAATGTTCATTCATGTGATTCTTTTTTAAAATGCAAAAAGAAAGAAAAAAAAAATGAAACTCTTCATCCGGAGTTTTTTTCCTATACTTCAGATTACGAATTTAAAAAATAAATGTTTATTTTTTATTTATTTTTTAATTTAGGGAATCACGTCGTGTAAAACATATTTGTTTTGGATTTCGTAGCTAGAGGAACAATGAAATTACGTAACACACTGGAACCTTTATTTTAATTTTTATGAATTATTTAAATATCTTTTTTTTAAATACTCGTAATCTGGAGTGCTTTTTTTCCAAATTTTTTTCTCCTTAAATGGAGATAGATAATTTCTGATTGCAATGCCTATTGCACACGTCCACCTAAAAATAATACAAAATTTTGGAATGCTTCTCGTTAACATTAATTTTCAAGGCAAGCAAATCTTGTTCACTTAACTATAGGCGCAACGCAATCTTTCTACGCACTATTTGGCCTAAGTCTAAGCTTAAGCCCCGCCAACTGTTACAATTGGGCCTTGTGACGTAAAACTTAGGCTTAAATTAAAAACAAATATTCAGGTCAACTTATATTCACCTAGAGAGATTAAGTTTTAGATCGATCGAAGAATTACTCCTAAATAAATAGAGTAACCAGTAAAGTAATGTGGTTCGGATTAATTTCCTCCTTCATTTAATGCCAGATATTGGTGTTCAGGCCCGGGTAAAAGAAAGGGTTAATTTTTAAAAGTTGTGGTACCAAGATTGGAATTATGATGGCATTTTTACTGCTTCGTTTTTATAAGCAAGTGCTCCGGAGCACTTTTTGCCTTTGCCTGAAACATGAAATAATTTCAAACTATCCCAACTAGTGCCCGGACTGGAATAAAATTTATAATAAGCATTAATTTATTTTAAACAAATTTCTGCAGATTAAAATAATTTCTTGCTTATTCTTATCACACATCTCATTCAGTAAGCCTCTAAAACTTGAACAGCTCTTGAGCATTGTTTTGCATGAACATTATAAAAAAAGAATCTAAGTCATAGTAGTGACATTGTTGCGAACGTCGGAGATCACCAATTTGTTTCGGGTGTGTGTTGGAAAGAAATAGAAGGTTTGAATTATCAGAAGATTTGGAATTGTGTGTACAAGTTGGTAAACGTTCTGAAGAGATTTCAGAGTTCGTACTTGCGTGAACGTGGGTAATGTTGTTTAACGTCTGACTGCATCAGTCAAAACGAGAGTTTACACGTGTTCTGTTTATATATCATCGTGAATCACGTGACTGGTTCAGATGGAAAACGCGGTAAAACAGATTGAAGGTGATTGACCAATGAATGCTTGTTATATATTTGTAAGATGGTGATGGTGAAAATTAGAACAGGAATAGTGCATTTCCTAGCAGGGGTTAACTAGCTTGTTATGGAAGAGTCCACAACATTATATTTCTCTTGGGACTGCAATTTTTTAAAAGTAGATTTTGAATGTTGGAAGACTAGAATAGTTTTCTATTTTGTCCTGGAAAGTTAAGTTTAAAGAAATGCGGTTTCATTCTCATTATTTTTAGTTATATACATGTTTAACAATTCTTGGGACCCAACATTTAAAAGTATAAAGGTTTTAAAATTTGAAATTTTGAAAATTAAAAATAAAATATGAAGATTTTATCAACTTTTGTTAGCTAATTTGTAATTGGCTGTTGTTTTGGCGTTAAAATATGAATCACATCTAAAGATTTTACCCAAGGAAATAAAATGTGCTTGAGGTTATGAAAAGAAAGAATAAATATGAATTAATAGGGTTCATAGTGCTGCAAATTTGATGATGTCATACAAAAATGAGATCTATGTCAGACACTCACCATGAAATCTAAATACCTTAGAACAAATGATTGTGAATTTGTGTAAATTAAATTGAAATTGTTTCTGTAAAAAAAAAACAACAAAAAAACAAACTTTGATTGAATTAAATTGATTTTATAAGTTGAATTGTTAATATATATTTATAACCACACACACACACACACACATATTGCTTAAAATTTTTTACATTTATGAGATGAGTGCTCAGTATTAGAGATAGAGTGTTTGTAGACATAGAAATCAACACTGCACAATGACTAACAGTTTCATTCCTTAGGAGATGATCAAACATATTCTGATGATTGCCTAAAGTGTGAAACTGCCAGTCACCATGCACTATAGATTTGTCTGTTTACCCTCTTTCTTTCTTTCTTTCTTTCTTTCTTTCTTTCTTTATCTATCTCAGTCTATTCATATCTATCTATTTAGTCCATTCATATCTATCTATCACATTTTTAAACAAGTCAATCAAATGTGAAAAGAATGATTAGTGACTGCATTTCTGTGTGATGCCATCAAATTTTCTGCTAAATTAAAATGAGCCCAATTAATTCATACTGTCTGCAGCATCAATCACTACAAGATTTTATCATGGTAGTTTATTGTTGGTCATTTTAAACTCCAGATGTAAACACTACATTGATAGTTGGTTTGACTCAGTCAACAACACTGATATGGTAGCTATTAATATTTAAGAAACCTTTTTATTAGACATCCCAGTCAATTTGTAGTACCTTTACATGTCATATAAACTATTAATGAGAATCAATGTCATCAAAATGACATTGATATGACCACAAACATAAGTCTCCTTGTTTTCTTTGCAGACAGAACAATGAACACATTTCCCCAATTCAGCCTACTGTCCAGTTCACACTCCTTCCTGTTCTTTTGAACAGGAGTAGAGGTTTATCCCTTGCTTTCTGATTAGGATTGGATTTCCAGTTCCTTCTAAAGTTTTCTCTTTCACTTCCAGTAGCTCTTTGTGTCTTAGTGGCATTATTCCCTTGCTTAGGGAGAAATGATTAAAAAAATTCTAGAAGGTCAGTCTTCCTGGAACAACCAACGATTTAAATGAGTGAAAGGCTTATTATAAATTTCGTAACAAGTCATACTAAATTACTTCCACCAAACCATTAAGTAACCATACTGAAAAACAAAACAAATACAATAGAATGTATGTGGGGAAAATTGTAAAAAGTTCTTCAAGTTGTGGGGATTACTCCACCTTGTCTACCAATGAACTTTGTTTAATGTTTGGTGGTGGTGGTGGGGGTTCTATTCAGGACTATTAATGGAAAGGACATAAACTCTCTCCTTTTCTCTCTCTCTGGGATGTAGTGATAACAGCAGAGCTCTTCTCCACAGGCAGTCTGACTACTTAATTTCAACCCAACCATGTGGAACACACACACACACACACACACACACACACACACACACACACACACACACACAAAATGATAATCCCATAAATGTTTTCTCTTTTTTAAGCTATCTGTATACATATAAATATAATTTTCTCTTTCTCTTCTTTTGTGAGCTATGCTGTTTTTTTTTAAAGAAATATGTATGAAAATCCTCCACATGGTGAATTAATATTTTTTTTGATATTGCTGATTTTGAAAGTTTTCATCCTCATCAGCAACAAGTTGTAACTTCTGCTACAAACTGGTGACCAAAAGTAACCTTGTCCATTACAACCCTGGAGCACCTTCTTGGTAAAAATTCTAATTTGGGGATATATTTTTTTTTTGTTTTGACAACATACTATAGTTATTCTTGGGTGCCTTGGTTTGAGGCAATGGTTAATGAGCTAGTCTTTCAGATCATTAGTAATGAGATCAGTCCTCACTGAATGCGCCGTAGTTGTGGCCCTGTACTAGGCTTATATTTTTATTTGTTCACTCTAGTTTGGACAGTCACAAGTCTTATCACACCAACCCCCATGCTTCTGTATCAAGGTTGGAAAGTCATTAGAGTGATATCCTGTCTCATTACATACTTGGTCAGTGTATAGGTGGTTGTTGGGCAAGCAAACTTGTCTTGTGCCATGGCTAGGGGTTCAGAACAGTAGATCGCTCACAAGTTTTCAGTGTCCTGCAAAGTGCATTCTGTGTTTGTGTCAGTTTGTATAAATATATCTATAAAGTTGTGATTTAGTTAGATGTTGTCTCCAAGATATGTTAAGTATAATTCTCAGCATTCAAAATGCAGATTCCATCAAGCTTAGACTCAAAGGTTTCAGGTAATGTCCAAGCAGTGACACCATAAATTAAAACCGCCTCTGCAATGGTGCAAAAGAATCTCTATTTGAGATTATCTGGTAGATCAGATTTCCAGATTACACCTATTTTATTCAAGGCAGCCTGGGCTTTAGCTATGTAAATTTTTACATTCTTTTTTGGTAGAATTTCTTTCAATTCCAAGGTATGTAAAAGATTCAACAGATTTTAGTGATTTATCTGAGGCAGTTTTTATTGATCCTTGCTGGTTGAAGCTAAGTAGACTATATAAGATATTACATTTTTCTGATATTATGTGAGTCTGTACTTACAGCATACAATTCACTCTTACACATGCATGTACAGCTGCCGACTGTCCAGCAAAATATGAGATTGTTTGATATTTTAAAATTCAACAACTGTTTTTAAAAAATCCATGTAAATTTTGCCATTTTTTTTTCAAAGGTATACTTAATAACGTATACTTAATAAATAATACTTAATAAATATGAACAATTAATTCATCTTGTCGGTCTACCACTTCTGTCTCACTCTCTTGCTTTCGCTTTATTTCATCGTACAGTCTTTCTCTTTCTCTCTTTCACACTGAAATTCAATGACCAATGAAAAACATTCCCACTTTTGCGTAAAATACAGTTCTGTTTAACTTTCTAATTAAACTGTTATTTCGTATTGAATTATAAAACTTATTTTGCATTGACCATATAAAATTCTTGAATGATAATCTGTTAAATTTGAACTCCTGTTGCTCAAAAATACCAAACTGATTTAATTCAGCTTTATGTTTCCATAGATCCCAGTTTTGGACCTGACCCTGATAGAATCCTTGGCCCCCAAGGTAGAGAACCTGTCCAGAGGATCAGGGTCCCTGGTAGGAAAAATGAAAACATCTCCCTATCCCGCATTTTCATTTTAGGGAGATGGCAACCCTTCAGGCATGATACTACAAAATAAAAAGTTGGAGTGGGGGTAAGTTTTAATTTCCTGAATCTTTTCAAAATCGTTCATTTGTTTAACTGCATATCAACTTTTTATGGGTCATTTAATGCCAAAATTTAATTGAAATATCTTGAAGACAATTTTATGGCTTCAACTAAATATGTTTTGAATGTAATTGTATGCATTTAACTACAGATAAAATGTATTGTTGGTTATTTTGCTTTAAAATTGTATTGTTGGCAATTTTACTATTGTTGGTAATTTTTCATCTAAATATGTATTACTGGTGTATTGTTGGTGGACCTAGAAACAACAGCAATTAAAAAGTGGTTCTACACTTCTCAAATCCTTCAATCTTCTGATCAGCAGCTTGCTGCCAGATGTAGTTTATTGCCAGATGCAGGACTATTTTTCAGAATAAGTACAAACAAACAGCAAAAAAAGGTGTATTTTATATATACACAATTTTTTGATGTTCGTTTGTAATTCATTTTATAGAATGAGACTTATAGATGTTTTTTGCATGTTTTTTTTATAATAATGATCACCTAATAAAGGGAACAAGAGCCACTCAAGTTAGAGGGATACTGTGTGCTATTGTATGAGTGTAAGAAAGGGCAAAAAGTTCTTGGAGCTATGCAAGAAAGATAATGGTTAACGTTTGCTTTGAAGAGGTCAACATTGCAGTGATTGGGAAAATATCCTGCCTGGAGTATGTCCCACAAAGTAGTGGTTCTTGGGAAGAAGCTGTCCGAATGGAACATAAAAAATTTTAGAAGCTAATGTTTTAAAAAGAAAGATGAAGTCTTATGATTTATTATGAAAATCAGTGCCAGTAATGATTTTAGGCAAAATCAGCTTATTAACAGTCTCAAAAAAGCAAAGTTTAACCTTCATGTTTCAAAGGGACATCTTTTTTTTGTTGACTCTACAATTACTTTAAATCCCTTGACAGTGTTTATTTACAAGATTATAAAAATATGTAAATCAGGTACAATGTGATATTTCTTATTTACCATTTTATAAAGAAATAAATTTGAAAAAAAATCTTTTGTTTCAAAAATTTATAAAAATCTACAAAATTTTCAATGAATTGTGTTCTTTGGAATGGTTAGCAAAACATTGGTAAATTGCCAATTGATTCAAACTTTATAAATGGTAAATAATAAAATATTTTATTATAGTAGGTGTACATATTTTATGATTTAGTAATATTTTATACATTTATGAATAAATAGATTGTTTTCACATTAATTTGTTTATAAATTAGGGATTGGTAAACATTTCATTATACTGATTTGCATTTTTAGAATGTTTTAAAATGTATAAATTCACTTTTATATGTTTTAGTTTTATTTAAATTCTAATCATTGCTTTTTCAAACAATAAACATTGCCAAGGGAATGAAGATAGTATGAAATAATAGTGGTGTCAAAGGAAAAAAACATCTTTTGACACACTGTTTTATTGTGGGCAAAAAGGTTAAATTTTGTTCTTAATAGAATAGTGCCAAGAAGCAAAAGTTATTCAGTTCCAACAAAAAGTTAGGGGACTAAAATCTTCCAACCCTTTTTATAATGCTGTGGATGATATGTGTTGGAATTTAATTTGAGAACAACAATTTCACAAATTCACATTATGCTATTTTTTCTATCCTCACTCCAACCTCTTTTTAATTTCAAAACCGGCTGCCAAGGCCTTCATTCTTATCAGAGATAAGAATATATTTTCTCACTAAGGAGAGAGCTGGAAAATAAAAAGGAATTCCACCACCATTATTCTTTCCATGGTGCCATAAAGTCTGGGAGAAACCTCACAGCTTCACTTCAACCTGTTTTCAGTACCTTTAAAACCAACTTCCAGGGCCCTGATTCTTATCAGAGATAAGAATGTGTTTTCTGACCAATACAGGGGCCAGGAAATTTGTACAATGATTTTGGAGGGAAAAGTCTCCAATCCATCGGAGCCTCCCAAAACTCCATATATTTGGAGAATCTTGCCTATTTTGCCAGTGAGAAATTTGCCCACCGTCTGTAAGGTTGACATTAGGGGGCTCCAGAACCTCTTTTACTCAAGAAGAACTACTAAAGGGCTTTTCTTTCTCGCCTAATTGTTCTTTCATCCCTTTACTTTTTTTTTTCTGTATATCTTGTAAATAAACATTTTCTTCTTTTGTTGTTACTCACTGAGCAGGAGTTTTTTCTTTATTCGTACGCGCCTAAAAGAGAGAGTTTGTCTGCTCTAATCTTGCTGTTTAACTTGTGTTTTTACGCAATTTTTAACCTCAACCCTTTGATGCGGGAAAGTCAGGACAAATTTCCTAGCATATGAGATTTCTAAGTAGATTTTTTTTTTATTCACTCTTCAAATTACATGCTCTTTTTTCAAATATAGTAACTACAAACAATTTTTTTTTCGTTTTTTTTTGCTATCATCTGCTAGCCACAATGATGGAGAAAGCATTACCCCGGACCATCGCCAGTGAAACACTCTGCAAGAGCCACTCTGTTTCACGAAGCTTGTCTCTTAATCGAGACACAATTGCGCCAATCCTCTGAAGGAACGCCATTGAATGAGGGCCAATAACCCCAGAAGTCTTCACTGCCACAAGAGTAAAAAAAAAAAAAAAAAATCTATCAGCAAGAGAAGAATATTTAAATTATAATATTTTCAAATATTGTCTTCAGTATTGTGAAAAAAAGTAATTTTTTATATCTTAATTTTACATTGAAATAACTTTTTTATGTCCATAATTCGTATAAAAATAAGCTCTTATTTTTATTTTATTTTTATTATGAAGTTATAATTGGGATTATTGTTTTGAATGAAAATGTTAAGTGCAAATGGAAAGAAAAACTTGGTTTTTGTTTTTATCCATAAAAATGAAATAAAGGTATTAATTTTTCCATGGATTTGTGCTGACAAATATTAGATTTACATTTACACTATTACTGATATGGGACCACTGTTTCAGACAAGCTTCCTCCTTGCTTCACTGAGTCCATGAAACGGCTGTTATGCTTAGCCTAAGCAGCTTAGGTAATTTTATAATAAAAGGAAAAATCTTATACAAACCTCGCAGAATCATTTTGCTAGGTTCAATTTTTTTATTTTTAATTTCAGTGAAGGTGGGTAAAATTTTTTTATTAGGGCTTTAAAAATGGATGACGACGACGGTGATGATGAAAAAATTAAAAAAAAAAAAAATAGTCATCGGATTTGAAACCCTACTGCCGGCTCGTGATTAACATTGCCTCATTGCTAAGCCATAATATTTCCTAGACTAGTCCAAAGTGGCGATTTTAGAGTCCACAACCCAAGGGTAATAAAAATACCTTAATTAAAAAAAAAAAAATGAAAACAATTATTTTTTAAAATTATTCTCTTAATGAAAAAGAAAATGATTCTTTCTTCAACATAACAACTAGCTCCCCCCACCTCGACTTCCTGCTTATCACTTGACATTACATGGCCTTGTGTCAGACTAAGATCTCCGCCTCCCACATAAACGAGAGATAATGTATTAAATTGTTATGTCATTTTTATGTTAGTAAAAAAAAAAGTAGAAATCACATGGAAATTACATCACGCTCGACTTTTATACAAAAATAACAGATAATTTATTATATAAGAAGAAGAAGAAAGAAAAGCTGTTCTTATTCTTATTCTCACCATTGTACACACATGAGATAATCGTAGTAAATAGAGAAAGTGTATCTTGTAAATAAATACCTAGATTTCGTTTGACGTACATCAACTGAATAACATAGAAGCCAAAGGGAAAAAGGCCAGAAAAGAGGTTTTTGTTGTTGAGTGTGAATAATAATACTTACTTTAGGAAATTAGGTTTGATAAACTTCCATCTCTCGTCAGTCAAGCACAACCAAACAAAAAAAAAAACTATCGGCCGCCGTCCGCATGTCGTTGTTATCATTCCATTGCATTAAGTAAGTAAATCATTGAAAATTTATTTTAATAACAATTTTTAACTCTTTCATCTATTTTTTAAAAAATTTTATTTTGTAAATAAGACAAAATTTAGGAGTTTTTTTTTTTTTTTTTTTAAAAACTAAAAACTATCTCTCTTTTTTTAAACGAGACAAACATTTCTTGCCCGTCTGAAAACGACGTGTTGTTCTTTTTTGTTTATTTACACGACGACACCAAGTTTTATTCATTATTCTCTCCAAGTCCATTATTTTCTATTTCTTACCAATTTGTTTGGAGTTTTGTCTCTTTATCCAAATTCTTTTTAGGTACATACAGGATGATTAAGAAGACTTACTTATTGTAAATCAAGTGGAATCAGTTTTCTTGTGTGATACATTTTTTTTATTTTCTATTTGCAATTTTTAATTTTTCGCTTCTTACCGCTTCATGAAAAAAAGATAAAAATGTCATTTTTTTTTTTTCATTTTTTTACAGTTTAAATTTCCAATTTCTGCAATAAACTTTATGTTAAAAAAAGTAATTGAAATTATTAAAGCAAAATTTAATTATTTATCTTGGCAAAAATCAAAACTTAAAATGATTTTTTATTTAAATTTAATTTTTTTTGGTGTTGGTCAGTGAATCTCTGACATTTTGGTGATTTGTAAATATAAAAGAAAAGACAAAACAAGATTTTGCTACAGACGTTCACAGAAAAATTTACTTGTAAAAATAAATTTAAAAGACCGCAAATGAGCGGGGAAAAAAAAAAGGATTGAAAAATAGAGAGAGAAAAAGACGCCATAAGGAAAAAAAAAAGTTGTTGACGACGACTAAAGACATTGTTTTGACTTGTCTCATATTCCAAAAAATAAATTAAAACATGTTCTGATCGATTTTATTTCTCTTTCTGTTATGTTTGATTTGGCAAGATGTTGACATTTTCACAGTTCGGTCGGGTCATACATTTTAAATTTTGTTTTACGATCACCAGAAATTATTTTTTCTACATTAAAATAGCATTTCATTTTTTGTTCATTTGTAGTTTGTATGCTTCTTAGATTCTAAAAATGCTTCTAAAATTTAGAGAAACATTTCAAATTGTTACCAAAATTACTTTTTTAATCGTCTCTCACTGTTGCTATCGATGGTTTTTTTTTTTGTTTTTTTTTTAAGATTTATTTTATCGTAATTTTTTCAATATCGATCTTCATATATCTATCTTCATAAGATATATTAAATCAATTAAAATATTATTTATGTAAAATACTGTATATTTTAAATGAAAATAAGGCTTATTTTCTCTCTATTTCTTCTCCGACTCAATGTTTCTTATGACTTTTCGGTACATGTGTACACAGTTGGACCCTTAAGGAATTTCACTGATGTCACAAATTTATGAGCTGTGAAGTGAAAAACTCAGAAAAAAAATTGTTTTTGTAATTTTGTTAAAAAAAAATATCAGTTATTTTTTAATGTTAAAGTTGTTGAAATTTTGAAATAATTTACAATACATTTAATTCCAAGAAAATATTAATCCAAAATAAAAAATTAAAATTTCCCCAATAATTTTATTGTTTTGTTTCATATTTAAAAAAAATAAAATTGTTAAATGAATCAAGGAAAATTTTTGGTTCATTCTAGTGTAAAGAAAAAAATTAGTAGAATTCAACTTCTTTTTAAGTTACAATGTGAAAAAAGTATGTGCACACACAATATTTCAATCTGATAAGTATGGCCCATTTGAGGTTACATACCTTATATATATATATATATATATATATATATATATATATATATATATATATATATATAAAATTTAATGGTTCCTGGTTCCTTCTAAAATTTACCTCAACTCTATACTTCTAGTCTCCACCTAAACTGTGAAATTTTATTTACTATTTATTTATTTTTACCTTAATAGGAGTAGATAAGTTCAGCTATCATCTGGTTCACACCCCTCCCCAGTTTTTTGAACATTAGTAGAGGTTTATCCCTTGTTTTCTGTTCTTTCTAAAGTCTTTTTCTTTCTCTTTTACTCCCAGTAACTCATTGTGTCTTAGTGGCATTATTCCCTTGTTTAGAGGGAATTGAAAAAAAGAAGAAACATTTTTTAATTATGGAAGCAATTATTTACCCACCTCTGCTTTTTTTAAATTTTAAAGAGGGTTTTCTGTGGTTGGGTTGACAAAATTAAGATGCAGTCAGCATTTATATGTGAGCATGAATTTTTTTTTACTTACAAATTTAAAAAAAAATTTATTGCTAACATCTATCCTTTGAAACTGAAATATATTTTTATAACCATTATTAATTAGTTATAAAAACACTAATAGCAACTTTGTTGCTAGTGTCTACATTTTTATGTAGAAATGTAAACTTAGTTTTGTATTTTGACATGTTATTAGCTGCGTTTTTAATCTAGTTTAAGAGGTACAGTTTATGGGGATATGTGGGGGAAGATAACAGTTAACCCTAGAGGATAAGATAGTCGTGATCAGGGAAACCCCTTCTTGCGAGTCAGTTCCACAAAATAGCAGTTTGTGGGAAGAAGCTGCTTGAGTGGAACTTACATCTCACTAATGGAATATGAAGGGAATGAGAATGGTTCACTACAATGTGTGTGACATGGCATGATGTTTACCCTGTACAAGGCCTGAGAGCCACTCGAGTTAGAGGGTTACAGAGTAAGAGGCAAAGGATATGTGGGGAAGATAACGGTTACCCTAGACTTGAACAGGTTAAGATTGTATTGATTGTGGAAGCATCCTCTTGGGAGTCGGTTCTATAAAGCAGCACTTTGTGGGGAAAAAACTCCTCAAGTGGAACTTAATTTCACCAATGGAATATGAAAGTAATCAGGGTGGTTTGCTACAGTAGGCATGGTAGGGTAGGTTTTAGTTGAAAAATAAGTATTTGTTGTCTGGTTTATATTCCGTTTATAATTATAAAAAATACAGCCAAGTTTCCTTTCTGTGAGCTTCTGTTAGTGACTGGATTCTACTATGTGTTATGGATGACAATGGCTCTCCACAACATCCTGTCTCTTGTAGCTGTAAACAATGTTTGACTCTTTTATCATCCCCTTTTGCCTCTGTTCTGCTTTCCATTCACACAAACTTAAGTATCAGTTCAGACTTTTATAACTAAGACCTACCATGCCACAAAAGTGAACCATCATAATTCCCTTTGTGTTCCATTTGTAAGAAAGAAGTTTCATAAGAACAACTTCTTCCTAAGAGCTGCCACTTTGTGGAACAGACACCTGAGAGGATGCTTCTCTGACCACTACAATCTTAACCTCTTCAAGTCTAGGGTCAACCATTATCTATCTTATATATCCTCATAATCTATAATTCTTACCGCCCTCTCTTACATCCATAAAACATCCTCATTCAGTAACCCTCTACATTGAGTGGCTCTTGGGCCTTGTATTGGGTGAACAACAGCATAAAAAAGGTAGGTTACATACTGTTTCCCATAGTCTTTCCTGCTTTCATTATTTCTTGTGAGGGTAACATTCACCAAGCACTTTTTTTTTCATTATGTATCCCAGAAATTTCAACATTTTGTTTTGGATTTTAAGTATAAGTGTTCTTTTTGTTTTTTTTTTTCCTTAAAACTTCCTCATTGCTCACATATTCTGTCCATGATATTCTCAGTACCTATCTGTAGAATCCCATCCCTGCTTCAAAAAATCTCTTCATCTGGAAGGAAATTATCTGCATTCAGAGTCATAGTATCACATTGATAATAATCTATTATGCTGTTTACCAATCAGTGGGAAAATGAACTATGAAAATTATATATTGGAATCTTTCTAACTATTGTTCTCAGTCAATTGGAGTGGTTAGGTCCAATTCACACTCCTCCACAGTCTTTTCAACAAATGTAGAGGTTTATCCTTTCTTTCCTGTTTAGGGCTGGGTTTCCAGTTCCTTCTAAAGTCTACTTCAACACTGTACAGGGTGCAATGGATAAATTGTCATCTAAATTACGCAAAAATGAAAACAACACTGATATCACATTTTAACAGGTATATTTACCAAAATTATACAAAATATCTTGAAATACTAAAGATTAAATTTATTCAATAAAATCACCATTGACTTCAACCACAGACTCCAGACAACTTTGAAATCTCCTGCAAATCTTCTGGATGGTCTCCTTGTTTAAGTTGGTGAATGCTGCCAAAATTCTTGCGTTCAGTTCATCTTTGGTGTTTCAAGGAGTTTTGTTGGTCTCTTGCTCAACTGTGCCTCACACATAATAATTGAGGGGGTCACAGTCTGGGGAATTAGGTGGCCAGATGTAAGGGGTGATGTGGTCACACAAATTGTCAGACAGCCATGACTGGCTTCTACTTGTGTGGCATGGTGCAGAGCCCTGTTGCTAGACATAGGGTCTTCCAGGAGCTACCTCTTGACCCATGGCAGCACTACCTTCTGGCAAAGTGACTTGTGTCATGGTGCATTTTTTCTCACTGATGGTGCCCAACTGACCCTACTATACTGTGCAGTGGACAAAATCAAAAACATGTGCAAAATTAAAAATATAAATGACGACAATTTACCCATTGCACTTCATAACTTCTAATGTCTCTACCTAAACTCTGAAATTTATAAGAGTAGATGGGTTCACATATCGTCTAGTTCACACACTTCCCTGGTATTTTTAACAGGAGTAGAGGTTTACTCCTTGTTTCCTGTTTAGATATGGGTGTCTAGTTCCTTATAAAATCTACTTCAACTCTATACTTCTAACATCTAAACTCTGAAATTTTGTTTAATATTTATTTATTTTTTTTCCCATTCAATAGGAGTAGATAGGTCTGTTTCACACTCCTCATCAGTCTTTTGAACAGGTGAAGATGTTTATCCCTTGTTTCTTGTTTAGAATTGGGTTTTCAGTTCCTTCTAAAATCTTTTCCTTCTCTTTCACTTCCATTAGCTCCTTGTGTGTTAGTGGTATCATTGCTTTGCTTAGGGTGATTGGAATAAAAAAAAAAAGAAATAAA